CATTGCCATACCAAGAAAGTGATATAACAGACCTAAGTCAGTCATTTCATATCTTCTCATCATTTCAGACTTGAACTTTACAATTAATTCTCCACTGCTTCCTATATACACAATGTCATCAACATAGACTGAGACAATTAGAGTTCCAGAATTTTCCTTAGTCTTGCAGTACAATGTAGCCTCACTAGTGCTTCTGACATATCCACAGCTAAGTAGATATGCATTTATCTCTTCATACCAGGCCCTCGGTGCCTACTTTAAACCATATAGAGCTTTCTTTAGCTTGTAAACTTTGCTTTCATGATTTTTAACCATAAAACCATCAAGCTGGTCAACATACCCCTCTTCCTTAACAACTCCATTCAGAAAAGCAGACTTGACATCCAATTGGTACAACTTCCATCCTTTTTGAGCTGCCAATGCAATAAGAGTCCTAATGGTGTCTAATTTGGCCACAAGAGCAAAAGTTTCTTTAAAGTCAATACCAGGCTTTTGTGCATAGCCCTTGACAACCAACCTAGCTTTGTGCTTCTATATTGAGCCATCAAGGTTCAACTTGGTTTTATAAACCCATTTAACACCAATAACTGGCTTTTCCATTGGTCTGTTAACCAATTCCCATGTTTCATTCTTATCAATCATCTCCATTTCAACCTCCATTGCTTTCTTCCAAGCAGTATCCTTTGAGGCTTCTTCATAATTCTCTGGTTCAATAATACTCATGTTACATCTTGCATAAATCTCAACAATATCTCTGAGTTTCACTCTGTGTGGCATTCTCTGGTTCAGGAGTAGAAGAACTTGAGCTCCCAAACTGAGTTTCTTGTGTAGATGAGTCTGAAAGTCCACTCTCCATATCAGTGTCTCTTGCACCATCTTCAAGACTCATGGGAATTGAGATATGCTGCACATTCTGGTTTTCCCAATCCCACATAGAATCTTCATCAAAGATTACACTCCTAGAAACAGTTATCTTGTTAGTCTGCAAATTGTACACTCTGTAGCCCTTTTCACATTTTCCATAGCCAACAAAGATGCATTTTACAGCTGAGTCTTCCAGTTTAGACCTCAATTGACTAGGTACATGACAGTAGCAAACAGAACCAAATTCCCTCAGATGTTTAATTCCAGGCTTTCTCCCACTAAATGATTCAAATGGAGTTGAATCATTTAAAGCTCTAGTTGGACATCGGTTTTGAATGTATACCGCTGTGTTCAGTGCCTCTCCCCAAAACTTATAAGGTAACTTCTTCTCATGCATCATTGCTTTACTCATCTCTACAATAGTCCTGTTCTTTCTCTCAGCAACTTCGTTTTGCTGAGGTGAGTAGGCCACAGTCAGTTGTCGTTCCAAATCAATCTCTTCACAAAACTACAGGAATTCAGTGGAAGTGTATTCTCCACCTCTGTCACTTCTTAGTTTCTTGATTTTATAGCCACTTTGCAATTCCACCATAGCCTTAAATTTCTTGAATATGCTAAATACCTCAGACTTATACTGCATGAAATGCACCCAACACATCCTAGTGTAGTCATCAAAGAAAGTCAAGAAGTATTTGTTCCCACCTATTGTTGCAGTCTGCATTGGTCCACAGACATATGAATGAACCAGTTCCAATGGCACACTTACTCTCCAAGTTTTCTCTTTACCAAAAGCCTCTCTGTGTGATTTTCCAAATTGCACACCCTTGGCAAACTCTCCCTGTATTGCCAATTTCAGGTAATCCATAGACCAGCTCTTGTTGTTGTAACAACTTCAAACTCTGTAGATTCAGATGACCAAACCTCATATGCCAACACCAAGTGGATTCTTCAACTGTTGCCTTCAGAGCCACAAAGTTTGCATATTTTAGTGAGAGTGGAAAACATCTGTTTCCTGTCATGGAAACTTTTGCCACCAAATTTTCCCTTGAGCTGTCATCAAATATCTCCACCATTGAATTTCCAAAAACCAGATAGTAACCATGCTCTACCATCTGACCCACACTAAGCAAGTTTTCATCCAACCCTGATACAAGCATAACTTCTTTGACATATCTAGGCCCAGATTTAGTGTCAATTACCAAAGTGCCTTTACCAGTTGCTTGCACCAAGCCTCATGTGCCCATTTTCACTTTTGCAGTGACCTTAGTATCAATGTTGACTAGGAGAGATGCATGTGAGGTCATGTGATTGCTACATGCGCTGTCCACATACCACACACCATTATCCTTCACTATTGCAGCAGCATGGCAAACATAGAACATTGTGCCCTCTTCCTCCTTATGTGTTGCATAGCTTGCAGCTTGATCAGATTTTCCTATGCAGTCTTTGGCTATATGACCAAACCTGTCACATTTGTAACATTTTGGTTTGCCTTTGAACCAATGCAGCTTGTCATAGCTTCAGTCTGGTTTTCTTTCTTGGAATTATTTTTAGACTTTGAATCCCACTTTTTTGCTTTCTGTGATTTCCAATTCTTCTTAGATTTGGAACTGCCTGATTGCCCTGTGTTTGACACATTTAGGCTAGAGAATGCCTTTTCTGTCACTCTCTCATTATGCCTTAGCAATCTTTGTTCATGGGATTTTAGAGATCCTATAACCTCCTGAACCCCTATTGATTCTGTATCTTTTGTTTCTTCTATAACTTCAGCAATAGAATCATATTCTTTGGATAGACTAATCAAGAGCTTCTGAACAATTCTTTGCTCAGTTAATTCTTCACCATATGCCTTCATTTGATTTACTAGCTCAAGCAATTTAGTGACATAACCAGATAACGATTCATCATCATTCATGCGTCGCCATCACCAAATAACGATTCATCATCACCATCACCGCCACAATCACTGCCGCCATTCCCATCGCCACCGCCACCACCTCCACCACCTCACTCCCATCGCCACCACCACTACCACCCCTACCTCCTCCACCACTACCTGCCCCACCGTTACCCACAAACTGCCATTGCAACCGCCATCGCCACCACCGTCATCAGCCTTAAACCCTTTTTTTTAGTGCTATAAACTCCATTAAAATCAATAATAAAACTTTAACAAACTCAATTAAAATCTATGCACGAATTCAGTCAAAATCTATGTGGAGTTTGTAGAATTCAGTCAAACTCAATTAAATTAAATTAAACTTCATCAACTTTATAACTCTTTTAAAATCATTTAAAATCTAAATTGAATACACCCTCCTAAAAAAAAAAAAGATATATTTATTCGTTTAGCAAATTTGTCCAAATTCACCTTAAGTACATATGGTACAGATCAATCCTTTGAATTTCATTCACTACCTACCAATTCATCATTAAAACTTTCTCCTTATACATAGTGCTTGATTCACGTGTGAAGGATGTGAATTCAGAGCTGACTAGTCAACCACTCATTCCATTGCTTTTGATAGAGTCTCTCATTGAAGAAGTCAAAGTCCTGTTGGTTTATTTTATAAAAAATATATTCCTTTCCAATTAGGAAAAGAAAAAAGAAAAAAAAAACCTATAACAATATGCTATCCTCGACCTATCACAATATGCTATGCTTCATAACTTTTCCATGTGGCAAACTGTACTTGGCTAGAAATAACAAAACAATGTTATCCTCATTTCATACATGTTTTAATGATAACCAAGGGCCACATACTTTAGCTAAAGTATGCATTAATTCAAACCAAAAAAATAGGTATGCACTTAATTCATATAATGCCTTTAATTAATTTCATGTATGACTTTTATTGTCTTGAGTTGAGAAAAGTCTTGAATGGCGATTCCTCATTCATTATGAATAAGGCTTGTCAATGGACGAGGCTGGCAAAATATGCACTTAATTAATTTCATGCACGACTTTTATTGTTTTGAGTTCAGAAAAGTCTTGAACGGTGATTCCTCGTTCATTCTGGATAAGGCTCGTCAATGAGCTGAGCTGGGTCAGCTCGTCCCAAATTTACTGAGTTGGGCTCGGCTAGGCTTCATCAAGTTGAGAAAAAAATAATGAGTCATGCCGGGCTATAGGCTTTTACAAAAAATTCAAACCCCAAGTCGCCTAGGGTTGATTTTCTGACGGATCGAATCAAAATTAGGGGATTCCAATTCCATTCCAAAAAAATTTGGAATGGAAATTATTTTCCAATTCCGTTCCAAAAAAATTCGGAATTTCAACATCCATTCAAATTCAGAATTTTTGGAACTTATGGAAAATTTCGGAAAATCATTGAAAATTTAAACATGTCTAACAATCTGAAAGGTTAAATTCAGCTCAAAATTAAAAAATCATACGGAAAATCTCCAAAAACTATTATATGTTATCACTTAGATGTTATTCTTTATAAAATAATTCCTCGACGTCTACTAAAAGGGCAAGGGAATTTGATGGACCTAGTGGATCCAAGGTTGGGCTCAGACTTCAACAAAGAAGAGATGATGCTTACAATCAATGTGGCTCTCCTCTGCTGCAATGTCACTTCAACAGTTAGGCCTACCATGTCTTCAGTTGTGAGCATGATTGAAGGCAGGGCTGCTGTTCAGGAATTGGTCTCAGATCCAAATGCCTTAACTAATGAGATCGAAGCAATGAGGAAACATTTTGAATCCAGTTTCGGAAGGAAAACCGGTGAGAGCCAGACACAAACCGCGTCAACTGAAGGGCGTTGGACTGGTTCATCTACATCTGCTCATGATCTCTATTCAGTCAATCCTGATTCAACTTACCGGGACAACAGAAATGAGAGAAACTGTGCAAACTGTCTTGACTCCTAAACATTTATGCCCATATATCATCTCTACTCCCTCTCTATGTACGCACGCATATATATTTTTTGTTTGGCAGGATAGCCGAAAGAATAATATAGATGTTTCTACAGCATGGTAAATTGGTAAATGTAAATTATGAATCCTTTGGATCAGCTTTGCTACAGCACAGAAGCTGGTATATTATATCTTTTGAGAAGATTGCATTACAATGACATAATTTGCAATACAGGGCAGAGGTTTAGAGTCAGGAAAACTGAATAAATTACTTGGAAGAGAATGGTGGAAATCAGCATAAATGTTTGGAAGGCATGAACTAGCAGATTCGGCTTAGACAGATACAGGAGATAAGAATAAGTCATCTTCCAATGCTCCAATCCAACGACCCCAAGTGGACAGTAGCCCTTTTTTCTGTAACTTCAGAAATCTAAATTCCAAGAGAAAATGCGCATTCAACAACTCAAAACAGATTTTAAAGATCAAAGTAGATTTTAAAAACCAATTGTCAAAATCTCACAAGGCAAAATGCAGACCTCCCATAAGAAGAAAATGCAGAGGAAGAAGCTGTCAAATTTTCTCTCAATGTTGTAGCCCCCCTTTTTATCCAAAAAGAAGTCTGCCCTGCTGGCAGCCAAACTTTGGCTTCAAAATGAGACAAAAAACATTACAACAGAAAGGTTATAGCTGGCAAAGGCTGGACTCACGTGAGAATACAATGTATGATTTTTACCAATCTTGATTCCATTTGACCCATGGTTGATCTCAATTTCTATAATCATTTTGACTGCAGACTTAAATTAGCCTAAATTTCTCGAGCTTGACTAATTGCATATGAGATTACAAGTTTGTCATGGGAAGCTAAAAACATTAGCTGAACAAAAACTAACAATTCAAACTTAGCAATAGAGGAAATAAAATATAGCTCCCAAAAGACATCACAAAAACTGTAAAACCATTGTATGATGGGTGCTACTTCCACAATTACATAGTAGATAGACTGTACTTAATGATTTCTAATAAATACAGTAAACAAGTAGTTTCCGGGCACATTAAAATCACCATATGCTTTGTAAGTGCCTGCATGACCAACCAGGAAAATTCATTCATGTTATATATATAAAACATTTGATAAGTTATGATTTGCTCTAATTTACAATTAACAAACTTTTGATAAGTCCATTTCCTCATTTAAAATATAATTAAAATTATCAGATATTCCACCTCAATTTTTTTCGTTTGAAGGTTTCTTAGACGAGGAAATGGACAAATATTGCTAAAGTGTGAGAGAAATTATCGACATCGATATTTTCCGATATTATCGATATTTATACGATATGTGTATGGATACGTTCCAAAATATCATTGTCCCGAAAAAACGATAATATCCTCGATATTTCGTCGATATTTTAGACTATGGTGTTTACTAACATGTGGGTATTGAAACGATTTTTGCTTTATGTGTTTACTAACACATGACAATTGGAATGATTCCTATTCATGACTTTAACACATGGGGAACCAAAAATTATGCGAGTTCCACATTAAAATCTGTAATCAAATACTCTCAAAATTAGGAATGGGATTTGACTAAGGGAGCAGTTGATCCAATTCCAATTCTTTGAGTCCTCATCTAAGTTTTCCGTCTCATGGCTTCCCCATTCCTGATAAGTAAACATACAATAATTATATTTATATCTTTCTCAAGTGACTGTAAAAAGATAGTTCTTAACCATTTCTATAGCACATATCACTCATATTTTCTCTTAAACAACATTCAAATCTTACTGCAATTGTGGTAAGAAATCTAAACACATCAATCCTTACAAGCAAAATTAATCCAAAATAGGAATGGTCAACAAGTGATGGGTAAGCATGCTATGGAAAGTGCATGTATGCCAAGTATCAACTGGATTTATAAATTACAGATATTTTTTTTTACTAATTAGAAATTGAATTGCAGAATCAAAAGCTGGAAAAAAAACATCTGGATATTTCCAATTTGCCCTATTAAACATAAATATGGATAAAGCTTGTACTTCAAATTCTAACGTCACACAAACCCTTGGCCATATTGGAGAAGGTGGTCCTGTAAGAACAGTTGTCGTCGGGAAGTAAAAAGTAAAAGTAAAAAACAACAAAAGATTTTTACTTATTAAATCATGCAAGTGGAGCAGGAAATATTTTGGCAAAACAAAAAAGAATTACAGTACAGATAAGGAAATAAAGATAGAGTGAAGAATACGTTACTGTCACATACTTCACCCACAAGGCAAGTAAGCGTAGCGAGTTTGGTCAATTGAGGCTGCACATTAATAACAAATAACAAAATTAAAATAACAAAAGCATAACTGGGATTTTTATTATCTCCCAAGCTAGACGGTAAACAGTCAGATTTGAGGACGGCCGTTTGACCCTTCGCTTGCAAGGCATAAAAAGTTAGGGTTTTATTTTTTTTTAATTAATTTTTTTTTTTTTAATTTTTAAAAAGTTTTTTTTATTTTAAAAAATATTTATGGGCTTTTTGGGCTTTGAGCCGAAGTGGGGCTCTAGTACAAACCACACTTCTGCTTCTGTTTTGTTTATGAATGTTATGAACATCCATTAGTTAAGCTAATTGATATTTAGTGTCATGAACTAAACTTCGACTACATTAGGTAATCATTCAAAAAAAAACTTTTTTGAAGTAAGAATAGTTGGTAGAAATTGATTCAACAAAGTAAATTTTGTATGAATTTGTAGATATTGAGTATTGAGGATATGGTATTAAATTATTGTAGCACTTTGTTTTATATATATATGTAGTACAAACTTTAGCTGACATAGCAAAGACACTGGGGAAGACGGACTGGGATTTCAGCGGAGATGCAGATCCGTGCAACAATCAAAAACCATGGACTGATACCAATGCGCCCAAAGGATTTGAGTATGGCGTCAACTGTGATTGTTCCTTTGCCAATTCCACTGTTTGCCATATTACCAGCATGTAAACCTCTCTCTCTCTCTCTCTCTCTCTCTTAACACCACCTAAAGAAAAAAAAAATTCTGTGGTTGGGATCACTAGGATGGAGTGTGTGGAGGTGTGCTTTGGTGGGCTAAGTATTAATATTGGACTAGTAAAATATCAAGTCACTCGGCTATAGCCCATGTTAGCATGCATGGACATAGGATCATCCCTGGAAATCCCTAAACAAAACTTTTTTTGGGGAATATTAGATCATTGGCTAAATATATATAGCGGATCCGTGGCACTATGTTTTTAACACAAGTTTTGACACAATTTTATAACCTTTGGATGCAAACACTTTCAATGGTTAAGATTACATGTGATTTCACTATTTAATTTACAAATTAATGAATAATAAAATATTAACTACCCACTTTTCTTTTCTTTTTTGGTCAAACTCCCCACTTTTCTAGTAACTTTAATGTGCCAATAAAAATCACTCTCTCTCAATAAAATTCGCAATAAACAATAATTAATCTCTTTCTTCTCAGAAACAATCCAACTTAATTCAATCAAAAAAACAAGAACAAAAAAGAAAACTCAGATCTATCTATCACATGGAAAGTCTTGGACCACCGACGGCGGGTTTATAAGCTTTGGCTGGGGCTCTAATATTTTATTCAATTATCCTCAGTTTGGACTGGTATAAAAATAATAATAATCATCTTTTGTTTTGTTTTTGCTATGATTTCCTCTTTATGTTGTATCTATTCGCCCAAATCTCATCCCCAATCGCAGTGATCTCTAATGGGAAACCTATAATCTAAGATGTACAGATTAAAAAAGATTCACATAGCATTTTAGTTTTGTAAAAGTGGGCTTCTCTTAATCATTTCTCTAAGAAAAATTATATGAACCATAAAAACCTTCACGAACACTCTTCCTTAACAAAACTTTGTCCTACTTTCCTTATGTTTCAAGTTTGAGTATTTTTTGGTGGACAGTTTCAAGTTTGGGTTGCAGATGAAAGAGGAGGATAAGGAGAATGGGAAAAGGAAAAAAATTTCCCCCTAAAGGCACAATGGCCAAAAAACCGAGAAAAAATCGTGTTGACTAAAAAGTCAAACTCGATTCAAAAAATCAAACTGGACTGGTTTTGGCCGGTTCCAATTCAATTATACACCCAAAAAATCAGACCGAGCTGAACCGGACAGGCCAAATTAAAAAATATATAATTTTATTATTTATTTATATATTGTTAGACCTCTACACCAAGCCCAATTCCAAAAGTCTAATAAGTAAAGAGTGCTGCTATTTCCACCCCCTTGTCCTATTTTTCCACCCACCTTATTTTTAAAATTTTAAAAACAAAATTACCCATTTATAAAATGACTTCTAAGGTCTTAAAGAAAATATTAAAAAATGAAACAATTGCCTCAAATTTAAAATTAAAAAAAGCTATAAAAAAAAATAATCTAAAGCACAAAGATCAAACGTCAAATTTCTCACTCCTCTACTCCCACCCCCTACGCCATTGCCCAGGCTCTCTCTCGCACCTCCAGGAGCTCCACCCCAGTCCTCTCAGAGCTGCCCCGGCCCCTCACTCACTCCCCCTCTCTCTCCCTCTTTCCCCCAAAAAACCACCATAACTCAGACAACCCCCTTCTCCTACACTATCGCTTTCTCTACAATTTCTACAGCCCAGCTAAACACCGTCAATTTCTTCCATGTTTAATTCTGAAGCGCCGAATAATGAGCTCACTAACGGATGAGGAAGAGGGATGGTGGAAGAGCAGGCGTTGATGAGGCCGTCGAGTAACGGCATCTTGGCAATAAAGAAGTCGCCGTCAAAGGACTCGATCTCACATAACGGAGAAAATGCCCTCTCCTGCGCATCAATTTAAGTATGGACTAGTGACTGGGCTCTCCCTCAATTCCCATCTCTACAACTCCAGCTCATCCCATGAATTAATCAATTCCAACGATTTGTACCAAAAGAAAATTATAAGAATGGGTTTTTAATTGAGAAATTTGGGACTTTGGGTTGAAATTGATTGAGTTGGAGGGTGGATTGTTGTTGGGTTCGATGTGGTGGGGTGGTGGGGAAAGGGTGGTTGGGGAGGTGGGGACGGGAGGATCCGTATCTTGTGATCGATGGACTGGAAGGACAGAAGGATTGAAATTTTATTTATTTTTATTTGATATTTTTCAATTGAATTTAAATATTTTATTGATATGCCAACTTTTCAGCCATTGGATTAAATTTAAATGACGTCATTAGCTAATGAATTTTCTTAACATAAAGGAGAATTTACTTGAATTCATAATTAAAGGGTATTTTAGGAATAACGGTGGGTGGAAAGATAGGATTGTGTTTTTTCAAATTTATATAGTGGGTGGGAAAATAAGGTGGGTGGAAAAATAGGACAGGGGGGTGAACTCGTTTATTTATTTTTATTTTACTTGGAAACAGACCCAATCTTTATATTCATTTGTAAGAGCATCCACAATCATGCTCTTTATTTTTTAGTTAAAATTTAGCTAAAAACATATAAAAGCTATTTTAAGAGCTCTTTATAAAATTTAAACTCCAATCATGCTCTTTAGTTTAGGGAGCCATAAATGCTATCACTCTTTTTTAATTGGTCAATCTCTATTAAAAAATAA